GCAGGATTAGATTGCAAGTTTTGTAAGTGTCAAAGTCCGTTGTCCCTCCATCCCCCCCAAGATTTATCTTTTGCTCCTGCAAAAACCTTTATACCGTGTTTTCACGTCATGTTAAGGCCAGATCTGCGCTGGTATAGATGCTGTTGTATTTCCCCATGCCTGGGATAACTCTGTCTTGGGTGAGGCAGGAGCACCTGCTTTTACAGCTCTCAAAGCTGCAAACCACGCACACGAGTGTTTCCACTGGCTTTGTGCTTCCTGTAGGGAATCCAACCCAGCAGAGCGGTACCGCAGCGTGGACATGCACAATCTGACTGGGCGTGAAGTCTCCCAAAACATGACCCAGAAAAGAGCATATCTCTCTCTTGTTTCTGCTTCTGCTTAGCCCTTTTCTGGGGAGAAGGAGGCAGGGAGAGAGCAGGGTGCACAAGGCAGATGTGCACATGGAGCTTTACCCTGCGAAATCACTCCTGGCTTCAGCCATGGCTGTCCCACCTGCAGAGCTGCTGGGCTGGATGCCTGTTGGTCCAGGACAACTCTTGAACCCTTGGATGCTCTACAGTATCTCCACAAGGTAGGAGATACCAGTGATGCAGCTGCCTCTAGGTAAGGGGGATTCATACTCCGTTCCCTGAGTTGGGCTGCTTGGAGTCCACTTCTCTCCATCGTTGCCAGACAGGCTGGTCCCTGCTTCTACACAGCCATTTCCACACTGACCTCTTTAGAAACCGCTTCCAGTCACTTCTGCTTCTTTTTTAGACTGCCTCTGAGGGAAAAGAGGCTTAAGCACCAGTGATGAGGAGGAGGAGGAGGCCAGAGGAACTGAACAGGTCTTCACAGTCCATCCGGGAAGGGTTACAGGCAGGGTGCCGTGAAAGGCTCGATGAGGGACTTGCTGCTTCCAGTTGAGATGGAGAAAGGTTTGTACTTCAGGTACGGTGGATGTGCAAGGAGACCTTTAAGCAGTCTGGGCTGAACTTGCGACACAGCTGCCAAGGTAGCGTCCCACGTATGCTCACCATTCACTGTGGTGAAAAGAGAAGTAACCGTTACATTTGGAAACCAGTGACCCTTCGTGGCCCCCCCAGGTGCCTGTGGCCGCTCAGCCCAGTGTCTGGCAATTCACAGATAGAGATGCTGGGGTTTGGTGGGTATGCTGTCCACGGTGGACACCCTGGCTGAGTTGAAACCTCCTGAGTATGCAGAAATTAATCCATGGGGGTAAGCTTGGAGAGGAGCAGCTCTGCCCCTCCAGCTGGTCTGAGGCAGATCGGTACAGGGAGCGTATTCCCTCTCCTCTCTCCGTGCTGCACTGCCCTGGCCACAAAGCAATATATACGGATCCTGACAGTGCTTTCGTACGGTTCAGGTGCCCCT